TATATATATATATATATATATATATATATATATAGAGAGAGAGAGAGAGAGAGAGAGAGAGAGAGATCTATATATAGATAGATAAATAGATAGTAGTTTTTTGTAGTTTTGTGTAATATCGTGCCCAATATTAAAATATAATAAAAACACGATTTTCTCAAAAATGGTATCACATTTTTCTTAGACTTTTGGTAAAGATAGTACTAAATGTACTCTATAAGATGACATAAACGCCATATTGCTTAAAGATTGCATAAACGCCATGCAGCTATTCTTTTGTTTTTAATTTAAAAAATATTTTTTTTTACTTGTCTCTCATGTTGTTAATAATTTACATTAGCAGTAATTTGTTCACATTTTTGTATTTATGAATGTATGTGGTTTAAATAATCTCAAGTATAGTTTCTTGAAAACTCAACAGTTTTCTGAGAAAACGATCTCAAAATTCCGCATTTTCTCAAAAATTGTTCAGAAGTTCAGAAATCCTCCGGGTGTAATTGGGAACAAAAAATGTATACTGACCTTCAAAAATAATAATGAGAGAGCAGGTTAAGCATGGTGTAGATTGGAAACCAAACAAAATTACTATTGAAAATATTGCAATGATTTATCTCAAGCATCGACAAATTCAGATAAAATATATAAACAGAATGACAGCAATAATGGGAAACAGCGGAGAAGGAACTGGTTGAGTAGTAACTGTTGAAAATACAAGTGAATAGCAACATAATTACTATAGAGCAAAATGAAGAGTGTAGTAGTAAATAAAAAAGTGTTTGGGTATATGATGTGAACAATTTCCTTGAGTGAAGATGTAAATTACAAAAGTAATTAGAAATCAATAAGCAAAGAATAAATAAATAAAGTGCTAGAATGATGTTGACCAATAAAAAGTTAGAATATGTGCATAGCCTGCACACAGGGACGATGGAGAAATGCATTTGGGTACTATCCCGCGCAGGGAAGAAGACAGAAAAGGGCAGGTAGACAAACAAACGGGGTAAATGACATTCCGATACAGTGAGGTGCAAAAGCACATGTTATGACGTGCAAGCATTTGGATGGAACAGATGCATTCACGATTTGGTAGCGTTATGTAAACTAGTAATTAGTGGGAAAAAGACATAAGTAGAAAAAAACTATAATTGCACGTGTGAAAGAAGATGTCTTTGTCTGAACCGTATTTCAACCAAAATGGAACTTCAAGAGTGGACGCGGAACGACGTCCAAGAGGGCTCTGGAACTCTAAAGGAAAGTTACTAAAAAGGGAACGTGTTAAATTTTATAAAATGTTTGAAGATCGAGTTTTGGATTAAATTAATGATTTTTGAATTAAGATTTAAAGAAAGGTAGAGGCCATGCATGCACTGGAAAGGATTCACAAAAAGAATAGTAAACAAGAATTGGTTTTGTTGCAACATTCTTTGAGTTGTTGTAATTATAAAATGCTATGTACATACGTGATATTTGTGTTCACAGCAGAATACAGGTCACAATGTTTAACTTGAAGTAAGTATTGTTATTCCTTGGTAATAGTAAAGAAAATTCTCAATCCCACATAAGAAAGAAAGAAAAATGTTCATAACCAAGCCTCTGTAAAGACAGTCTATCTGACTCGCAAATAAATTTATAATGACAGGACAAAACCTCGGGACATCCTTCAAGCTATTGTTGGGTTAATTGTAGATAGAAACATTAAATAAATATTAGGTAGAATATTCACATAAAAGGCTACCAGGAAATACCCCCATCGGATATATACACATATTCTCTGCAGGAAGTAAAAGAACTCTAGCCTTCGTGATTTACGTAAACAGCCTCGAGTCTGCGCAAAGTATTATTTTCCATACACTTTAATGCCAAAAAAGTTCAAGTGAATACCCAAGACACTTCAGACAATCACATTATTTTAGTCAGCATCTTGTGATTAATACCAACTTAAGCTGTAGGAAGTCTGAAGTCTGATGTGTTTGTTGTCAATTGTGCAGTTTAATGCACATGGCTGGCTAATATGTGAATTCCTAATGAATAAATAACCATATTTTGGACTTTACTCATAACATATTCACTTATACTTATTTTCATACACATGTAATTGTTCTATGAACACATTTGTACTTTTGGATGATTATGTGTTTTTGGGTAAAAATCTAATAATTATATCTTTATTTTTGGCTTGTGAAATATGGGTCATCATTATGTTGCCTTGACCCTTTCAATTAATTACACTATATTATGTTTTATAAAAAGGTAAAAAAACATTTGTTAAACAAGGTTAGGAAAAACATTTTGGAGTGTTTCAAAATGAAAACTGATATGTTTTGTTATAAGGGGAAAAAAATTATTAACTAAAACCAGAACGTTATTTGAAACAGCTTGTTGTCTTGCTCTGCTATTAGTTTTGTTTCTTATTTTGTAGTACACATTTCATCTAACAATTTGTAATCATCACACCGTTATATTCCCTTCAAAAGAAGGAGAGGACTTAAATTACAAAATAAAGTTACTTACTCCTTGTGAGAAGAATTTCTGATTACATATAGAGCAAGAATATTTCCTGGCCTTATTTGAGAAAGCAACTTTTTTGGAATGTGGCTTCAAATGTCGCATTAGATGGCGTGCATAACTAATAACACTTTCTTCTTTTGCTCCACATTCTCGACAACGCCAACAAGCAGGAGTAAATCGTGCACCAAGCCGTTTTGGAGGAAGTTGTTGGGCAATAAATGCAGTTCTTGCTTCATCTATGCAAAAAAGAACAAAAGTTACAAAACAGTTTTTACATATTACACAATTGTTTATTACACACTCATACAGAGGTTGTGAAATAATGCAACCCATTAACAACATTATATATAATTCTAATAATAATAATAATAATAACAACAACAACAACAACAACAACAACAACAACAATAATAATAATAATAATAATAATAATAATAATAATAATAATAATAATAATAATAATAATAATGTAGGGACGAGTGCACCTTTCAACGTGTAGCGGCATCATCTATTTTGGATTTGACAATAAGCTAGCTAAAGGCATTGCTGATTGGTCAGTACTCGACGAAGAAACCCTGAGTGACCATCGGTACAAAGGATATTCGGCTCCATTAACGGAAGGGCCGCAACATGTCAAAAACGCGATATAAAGGAAGAGCACCTTGGAATCCCCAAAAATTGAATGAAGACAAGGCAAAACGCTCCTCGGAAGAATCCAGATTGCTGGTTACCACGGGTTGGACGAAAGAGACGGAATCGCTTGAGGATATGGTCAAGGCAACGGAGGAAATAGTGGTAGCTTGCCACGCATCCATGCCTAGACGTATATGGCCGAGGAAGAAAGAGCAAATGGTCATCATCGACAAATTCAGATAAAATATATAAACAGAATGACAGCAACAATGGGAAACAGCGGATAAGCAACTGGTTGAGTAGTAACTGTTGAAAATACAAGTGAATAGCAACATAATTACTATAGAGCAAAATGAAGAGTGTAGTCCATGCCTAGACGTATATGGCCGAGGAAGAAAGAGCAAATGGTGGACACCAGAAATAGCTGAACTGTATTAAGGCAAGAAGAATAGCGACAAGGACCAAGACGAATCTGTACCTCAGGGAACAGTATAAAGAACTGTCCAAACGGCTTAAGAGAGGAATAAAAAGAAGTAAAGGGAAATGCTGGAAAGAGCTCTTAGAACAGATAGATAACGACCCATAGGGCATGGTTGATAAAATAGTAAATAAGATATTCAGAATGGACAAGAAGATACCTGGTTTGAATTATCCACAATGGATGAGGAAAGCTATTAGGGACCTCTTTTCCACTAGACATCCCTGGACGAGACATAGACAGAGCGACTTCATGGTTGACGCAGCAGACTACTTCACAATAGACGTACTGAGGAGGGTGGCGGTAAGCATGAAAACTGAGAAGGCCCCAGGTTTCGATGGAATTCCCTGTGAAATACTAAAAATATTGGCACCAGAAGGCACCGGAGTATCCGGAATGACTTTTGTCAATCTATAACCGCTGCCTTGAGGATGGGAAATTCAAGACGTGGAAGAGACAAAAGCTGATACTCTTCCGAAAGGGCAACAAGCCTGTAGATCAGACGTCATCATACTGACCACTGTGCCTCCTTGATACCATGGGCAATCTGCTTGAGGTTTAATACTTTCTAGGCTTGATGGGGCTCATATGCTTTTCTCACAGGCAATATGAATTCCGGAGAGGTTGCTCGACGACGGATGCCATCGTGGAAGTAATCGATAAAGCAGACGCAGCCAGAAGAAGCGTCGGCAAGAAGAAGGGATTCTGCGCGCTCGTGGCATTAGAAACGCTTTCAACTCTGCTAGGTAGAAGGACATAATAGAAGTGTTAGTTAACAAAATGATTCCGGAATATCTCATAAGGATTATTGAAGAATACCTCCATGAAAGGACGATAACTTATGTGGGCAGTATCAGAATAGAAGAGAATGTGATGTGCGGTGTTCCTCAAGGGTCTAGACTTGGGCCATTTTATGGAAGATTCTGTATTATGACATTCTAAGCATTGAGCTGCCGAAAAATACGCAGCTCATAGGCTCTGCTGATGATACGTTAATAATAAGCCACAGCGATGACATTAAACTCCTCAAATTGAGAGTGAATGAAGCGTTAAAAGATGGTTAGACAGACGACAGCTACAGATGCAGTACAAAAAACCGAAGCTGTCTTAATCACCGTCCGGAGGGCCTCTCGCTACCCAGATGTCCGATCGGGAGGGAATCAACTGGAAGCGCCAGATAAGATATTTAGGAGACGAAATAGACCATTGACTCAGCTTCGGGCCCCACATAAATGTGATTGCAGAGAAGGTGGCGAGGATAGGAGCTAACATCGCAAGAATCCTACCGAACTTCGGTGGACCGAGAGAAGCCAAAGGAAGAATGATATCTGGCATAGTTCACTCAGAGTTGTGATATGCTGCACCAGTCTGGGCGGGTTCGCTGGAGAAGTCTATCAGACACAAGTACGCTAATCGCGTACAAAGACGAATGGCCTTGAGGGTGGCGTGAGCCTACCGCACAGTGTCTCCTTGCGCAGTGCTGGTGTTGGTCAGTACACCACCTATCGACTTAATAGCCATGGGAAGAAAGAGGACGTACCTCGCCTTGAAGGAAGCACAAGAAGACACCCATCTCCCTCCCAAGCAAATTGAGTATGAAAGCAGAAGTAAGGAAGTTGCTCCTTGAAGAATGGCAAGGAAGATGGGATGGGGATGTGAAAGGCAGATGGACTCATCGGTTGATTATAAACTTCGAGAGATGGGTTAACCGAATTTTTGAGGAGGTGAGTTATTAACTGTCCCAGGCCCTTACGAGACATGGGAGATTTAATAAAAACCTCTACGATTTCAGGATCGTAGAGAGGCCCATATGTAGTCTGTCATGCAGACATAGATGATGCAGAACACCCCCGTGCAAGGCATGGAATGCGAAACGAGAGGTTTGTAATGTCAACCTCCAACAAGTTATAAACCGAGGAAACATGGTCGACATGATGCTGAGCTCGCAGGAAAAATGAAAAACAATAGAGAACTTCATAGTTAGTATTATGAAGAAGAAGAAGAAGAAGAAGAAGAAGAAGAAGAAGAAGAAGAAAGAGTTAAGACTGCGGAAGTAGAGCATCTGCCACCAGCCAATCTCCTGCGGGAAGTAGTGTCTAATGACGGTTTCCGCGTGGGGGAGAATACGGTTCAAGAGACGGAGGTTAGGTTTGTAGTCCGACTTCACCAGCGTCACTAGTATCCATAAGGGATTTTCCTCCTCCATAAATAATAATAATAATAATAATAATAATAATAATAATAATAATAATAATAATACACATTTTGGAGCATAATTTTTAAATCGGATTAAATTTTTCAAGATTTGAATGTGTACAATTGATGTAGTAATTGGCAATGAAACAGAAAATTGTTGTTGTGAGCCAACTATAAGATAATTTATTAACAGTTGTACGAGACGAGTAACTGATGTGTGATGACATGTGATTACTTTGTTAACGCAGACATTTTGAGCGTAATAGGCGGTGTTTAACGAAAGACGTCAAAAATGGCTAAAAGAAATCTTCCTGAAAAATGTCTAGTACAATTTTGAAATATGGAAAGATTTAGAAGAACTAGATCCTTATGATCTTGATTCGGAATTTGAAGATTCTGAAGACGATTTTCTGCTTAGTGATTATTCAGATGAATCTTCAAATTAGACAACTGAAAAAAGAAGTGAAGACTGGAAACTAGACACCTGTTCTATTGGTTTGTCATTTATGATTATTTGTGTTCTTACTGAATAAATACTGAAAAGGCCATGGTTTTCTTTTTTAAAGAATATTTTCCGGACAATAGGGTTTGCGGATTTTTTGAAAGAATCATCAATACATTGATAATACTAATTGAAGAATACATTAAAAATCAAATTAGTATGAGGATTATCAACAGTAAATTACAATTAAAATAACATTAATTATTTTTCATATCCTTTTGACCCATTCCAGTCCGATAATTTGTTCTCATTGCTATTGTGGCGTCATACGGGTGTAATCGAACACAGACGAGAGTGGTTTGTTAAACAGTAGATTTATTAACAATCTAGACCGTAGCCTCAATTTAACAACTACCCTGCACACAATAAACTAAATAAATAGACCCATTACAAGGAGAGATAATTTAAGAACGTCTACCACACCGCAACATACCACCGATGTTCCCTGTATGAAGCCGCTCTACTTTGAGACCATCTACGCG